CTCCATGTGAGACCCTTTTTACATAAGGGTACAGCTACAAAACAGTCCAGGAGCAAAAATATGGAGGTAATACAGTCCAGCCTGGCTATGCTTTTGGGGCCACAGTCTGGGAGCTGATACATCATCAACCATTAAAAATCTCTCCAAACTGAGAGCCCTCCCAGCTGCAAATACCCCAAACATCAGCTGACCAGAGCCCATAGGTCTCTCACCACATTTCCAGCCTAGCATTGACTCCCAGGCTCACACAGACACAGGAGACTTTTCAGAAGCCTGTTTCTTTCATGGGCGCCTCCCACCCCAAGAGGTCGATGTGATACCTGAAGTCAGGCTGCATTTCCCATCTGCTGAGAGACCTATGGGCTCTGGTCAGCTGATGTTTGGGGTATTTGCAGCTGGGAGGGCTCTCAGTTTGGAGAGATTTTTAATGGTTGATGATGTATCGGCTCTCAGAAAGTTATGTTCTGGCTGCCGCCAGGCCTGAAAAATCAACGCCAGCCAGAGGACAGCAGTCGCCCTGCACTTGCAAGCTGCAGAGGGATATAAGGATGCAGACATCACCCAGGGTTACAAGGAAACAGCAGAGCCACTGGAGGGAGTGGGCAGAAATCCGCCCCAAATGCCCCAAGCAGCCTCCTCTGCATCCCTGCGCCCTCCACAGCAATCCCCCACTTTCACCAGGTATCTTTAAACTGGCTCAGGGATATGGTGACCAGACCAGGGCTTACCATGCACCCTTTTCCCGCCCCAGGCCCCTGTGCTAAATCTCTGCATGCAGGCACCAATGGGCTAAGTGAAGTTTTGGCGCTGCTGCGCGAGACCCTGATGTAGCACCTGGTGCGATGGTGCAGAGCATGACTGCCACCAGCTTTCCCCAGCATGGCAGTGGGGCTGCTAGGCAGTAGATGTCTGTCCTTCAGGGACTGCACTCACCCCCTCACCACAGCCCCTTTCTTGAGGAGTAACTCCAGCACCAGCAGGTTTTGCTCATGCTTGCCTCCCACTTCTGGGGATTACCCGAATGCGGCTCAGCCTGTGAGCCCAACTGTGGCAGAGATGGGGTTAGATGGAGCCTGGAAGCCCTTCTCTAAGTCAGCTATCACAACCTTGGCTTCATGCAACACTCTGACGGTCATGTTTGTACACAGCCCTGACTGGGTTTCATCAATATTTGCATAGCCAAGTACATGCTGTAAGTTACAGCTGAAATCCTCCTTTAGCGATTGTACTAAGTCCCAGGGCAGGCATAGCATTTCATCGAGCCACCCCATGACAGAAAGCAGGTGACCTGCTCAGGGGTTTCTGCTGTAGAAGGAGCACATGACTCCTGAGCCAACATTGCATTTCCTAAGGGCCCCACCAGTTCTGGGAAAAAAAGGTAAAAAAAGATCCAATCCCTGCTGAGAGCCTGGAAACAGCATTAACACTGCACAGGAAAGTGTACAAATACTTCTTGTTTTCAGTCCTACGTGGTGTTATTCCAGATCATTCAATGTGCTGAGAACAGTTAGAGACAGAAGATCAAGCGTTGTCATACCATGAGGTCTGGGAAAAGGTTGACAGTCACTGTACCCTTGGTTTAGCCCAGCCTACAGCCAGCCAGCCATTGACCAGCAGTCCCTCAACACTTTCATGCTGCTCAGAAAGTACTAGCAGGGGTCCTGACTACCAGATCAGCAGGAGAGGTGCAAGGTCCACAGAAACAAGTGCAGCTCATGCTCCAGCACCCACCTTACCAAGGCTCCATGAGTTCTCCACCTCACTGCACACAGCTGTGGGTGGATCCAGCAGCTGCCCTGTGAATCCCACCTCCCAGAGACCCCACATCTTCTTGAGGAAGGGGGGACCACACTACAGAACATGGCCAAAACTATTTCCAAAACAAAAGAAAATCAAAACAAACAAGCAAAAAATTCAAGGCAAACATGCAAAACCCCCAAAACAAATAAGCAAAAAAAGGAAATGTATGGAAGTATTCATAATTCTACAAGAATTCAAGGCATTCTCTTCAAAAATCTAGTTTTCCTACAACTCCACCACATGGAGAAGTTCATCTACAGAAACAGGAATTCAGGTAGTACAAGCTCCAAGACAAGACATTTGATGGAGGAGCTTTTCTGAATGATTTTTCTTTACTTACTTTCAGTTTTACAAAACCATAGGTAACTTGCCAGTGGTTTCACAATCTCAGATCCCTGAATCCCACTGGAACTGCTGTTGCTGCTGAAGTCTTATGCCCACAGGGGGAAAAAAAATAACTATCTTATTGTAATTTCAGGTAGTCAGAGAGGTTCAGAACAGGATGTACCTCTTTGCAGGGCCAGTTATTCTTCTTACACCATGTACTTCACAGGAATCAACTTAAGGAAGTCCAAGCAATAGCAGTACAAAAGAAACAAAAAAAAGGATCTTAAGTATGATAAGTATCAACAGGAAGATGTGTATCTAAGTGCCTGTAAAGTGCATTCACTGCAAATCTCCAGCCAGGAAATTGCACAAACAAAACGATGGGAGCACCAGTAAGATTAGGCATTTGCGCATCTTCCCAGCTTCGCTCCTACACTGAAACATGAAGTCTAAACCCATTGCCTGTGTAATTTTGAAGGCAGGTTCCCAAAGATTTTTGTCACTCTCCAACTGCCTGTTGACCGCACAAAGAAGGAAGCAACAGTGCTATCTTTCTAGCCAGTAGGTTGGAAACCTCCCAGCTCTGGAAGCCTGTTTCCACCTCTTCCTGGAGGAACTGTAGGGGGTGGTGGGGAGAGTTCTCCTACTCATGTGCATGTCTGTCAAACAGCCCTGACTCTGGATGGATGCACATGAAGAAGACATGACTTCTGGCACACTCAGGTCTTCAGGCACATCTCAGCAGAAACAAGAACTTACAAGCAAAATCTGAACAAAATGCTGAATATTCTCGGTCAAAGTGCTGTCCCGCAGTCACATTTGGCTGATATTTTGCTATTAAAGTGGGATTTTCACATGCAAGAACTTGCCACTGTCTCCTTTCAAGCTTATGTCAGCTTGAATTTTCTTTTTTCCCCTTGATCAGCTTGGCTACTAAGCCGGAAGTAATCAAATCTCTTGGTGCCCTTCCATTTGACAACACCCCTCTTCTACTGACGAGGTGTCATGGTTTAACCCCCGCTGGCAACTAAGCACCATGCAGCCACTTGCTCACTCTCCCTGCCCAGCCCAAGCAGCGATCGCTGCCCCCCGGCCAACTCCCCCCCAGTTTATATGCTGAGCATATATGGTCTGGAATAGCCCTTTGGCCAGTTGGGGTCAGCTGTCCTGGCTGTGCCCCCTCCCAGCTTCTTGTGCACCTGGTAGAGCAGGAGAAGCTGAAAAGCCCTTGACTGGTGTAAGCCCTGCTTAGCAACAACTAAAACATCAGTGTCTTACCAACATTCTTCTCATCCTAAATCCAAAACACAGTGCTATGCCAGCTACTAGGAAGAAAATTAACTCTACCCCAGCTGAAACCAGGACACAAGGAAACCAGAAATGCTGAGGGGGTAGGTATTTTGGAACACTGCACCAAGTGAATAGCTGGAAATGCCAAGCAAAACACTGCTGTAATTCTGATGTGTGACACACAGAGCCCTTTGCTCTGGGAGTTTCAAAATAAAACACAGCAGCCGGTCTAACTCATAACTGTTTATTGTAAATCACTCAAGAGTTTACACGTCATTAATGGCAAAGTAACACTGTTTACCTGCTGGATGAAATACAGAATAGACAACTCTTATATTATATATGGCATCATTTAAAAAACAAGAAACATAACAAAAAGGAAACCATTTAATTTTTTTTTTTCCAGTTCTATACCCAGGCCCGAGCCTCAGTTATCTTGAGATCCCTGCCTCGCCCTGGACACAGGGCCATGCAGCTGGGAAACGGGCACTCCCTCTCCGAAGGGCAAGGTGGAGACCTTTATAAATGAAAATCATGCCCTCTATCTTCAAAAGTGCTCCAGTGCTGACAGTACAAAGCCTCTCTCCTGCACTGGCTAACATCTAACACAAAGGGCTATACGTCCCATTAATTCCACATGCTTTTTTTTTTTTTAATCTTTTTTCCTTTTTTTTTTTTTTTTAAACAAGGCAACTGTTAAAATTCAGAAGCTACATAACTGTCTTTATATTTTGCTCAGAAACCAATGGATGTTGCATGCAGCTGAAATGTTAGTACTCAGATAAAGGTCAGTTTTCTAAGACCCACTAGTCAAAGGCAGAAAAAGAAATTAAGACGCCTCTGCAAAAGGAGCTAAAATATGCATGCATTGATGGCCACGACCAGTTAGAATATAACTTAGGTCTCCAAACACTGAAACTGAAGCTTTATTTGGCTTAAGACATGGTTGAGCTCTATACCTTTACAAATTACAATGAATATGCAACAACAAAGGAATCATCTCAACATAGCACCAGTGGGTATTCTGGCCTGTATAGAGACTAATCTTCAACACAAAAGCCTGCTCAGCAATAAATGTTTTTCATATTTAGCAAAGACAAAAGCGCACTGGGCTGGCTAACAGGGTTAACAAAAAGAAGAAAGCAGGTTTTCAAACTAACATCTAACTAAATTTAGGCCAATTTTTTCCCCTTGGACATCTGGTTTTCCATCAGTGCTGTTACTGTCCTTTCCATTAGTCTGTAGCTGAAACAACACATTTGGCCCTGCCCCATCCCCTCCAAGAGATGAGTCTCAAAAGCATATTTGATTAATAGTAAAAACAAGAATCTCCCCTAACTGCACTTGGAAAGGATAGCTAGTTCCTCCAACCTGTCAGGTTTACCATGAACAACCAAATTACAATGTATTTCAGACATGAACTACAGAGACTAAAATGAAATCTCTCTCCTGATTAACTGTAATATTAAATAATATATAACATTTTTACACTTAATAGTCTGAAGTTTGGACATAAGACAGCTAATTAGGAAAAAAAAGCTGGGGCCAAATCTGTTCCTGGAGAATTAATTTGGCCCAGCTGATCTGAAAAAACTGATTTTACCCAGAGGAAAATAAATCTACCACAGGCATGGGGGTGCACGCACACCCACCCATCCATGTGTACGACAGTGCTGGCACAGCAAAGCGTTACTTTTCAAGCACTGCCATCTCCAGTCCTTTCCTTGCGAGCCTGGATCATCTCCTTCGGAGCCTGCTTGCGGTCAGTGACTAACCCCAACCAAAACATGAAGTCAATGAACCAGGTGGTGGGGTTGAACTTCAGGCCCAGCTCGCTGGCTGAGTAGTCAAATGGGAAGGTGTGGTGGTAGTTGTGGAAACCCTCACCTGAAAAACAGAGGGGGAATTTAAAGACCACATAGCCAGCACGTTTATGAACTTAGGAACACATTTACATGGGACATCCCAACACTCACTTCCCAAGTCCTGAATCCAGTGTAGGTTGTGTTCCACCCTGGATGGGAGACCTCTGGGGCACATCCACAATGGATTCCATTTCAGTGCTTTGGGCTTTCCTGCCCAGTAGGAAAGGGCACGTCCCACCCCTTACGCTCAGGGAAGAATACCACAAGTGCTTCAAGAGGGGAGGTACACAACCGAGTAAGAAGCAGAGTCACTTCTGCTGTGCTGTCCCCAGCCAACTGCCAAGAAGAGAGGATTGCTACTGTGAACACATCTCTGCCCAGAGACTACATGGCATTATTTCAATGTGGGCACCATCAGTAAAACAAGGGAGCCTTCTTCTAAGATGCACAAGCTCCAGCCTCCTTCAAGCCCTGGCTCCAAGTGGTGTCCAGTTGCAGGTGCCCAAAGCCCCAACCAGGGCGAAACAGGATGAGATACCGCTCTAAGTTTGCAAAGCTCTACCCAGGGCTACAGCACTTACCAATGGCTCCCAGAGTGACAAAGGTGTTCTGCCTGGGGTTGATGTACTTGTCGTAAGGGCGGTTGCCGTACATGTGAGCGGCACTGTTGACCAGCCAGGTGACATTGAGAGAGATGGTGTACCGGAGGATGGAGGCAAGGAAGTAGGCATTCCACAGACTCTCGCCCCAGACGTACCATGGCACAAAGGTAGGGATCACAAAGCACATCAGCACAACTGAACTCTTGTAATACCTGTGGGGAAAGAAAAGGACACCATTACTGTGGTGGGAATGACAGCTGGGGTGAAGTGGGGTTGGATCTCTGGAGACACGGCTCTCCCAGAAACTCCTGGCATAACCTGGGCTGGCCCCATAACGGGGCAGCAGGGAACATTTCAGACATCCACAATCATGTCATAAGTTTTCCAAGTGCAATTCAGAATGCCAAGACAACCCAAAACCACAAAGCAGCAAGTAATGCTGGAGCTGAACAGCTGAGACCCAGTCCCAAAGCAAACCTCCCAAGTTGAGCACCTTTAAGCTTGGGCAAGCACAGTTGGGTGCACACCCTGCGCCTAGGGTCCAGCTCTGGGACTGGAAAAGCCCAGTGCCTGGCATGGCATCAGCGGAACCATGTTGGAAACATGATCACTGCAAAGAGCCAGCAAAGACTTCCCCCTGTGCTCAGATCAGAAGGGAACCTTACAGCACAGGGCAGGAGCAGCTCCTTTCTATACCACTGCTGCTGCGTGAGCTCCAACAGCAGCAGCCAACCCAAAGCAGCTGCCAAGAAATCACAGGCACCCTGCCAAGGGTGAGGAGGGAGGGAGGAAGCTGAACAGCCTGAGAACAAACAAGAAAGCTTTATAGTACAGCTAACGCCACATGCCCAGGCAAGGTAGATTAGAGAGGATGCAAGAAGCACAGAGGTGAAAAGCAGAGACCATAGCAGGAGAAATAAAAAGAAAAATCGTGCTGGGGGAATTAATCCAAGGTGAATGGAGAAAGGAAGCAGCTCAGCAAGAAGTGGGGAGGCAAAGCCAAAAGCAAGATATGAAATAAGTGACTCTAAATGGAGAACAGGCTAACGGCACTTGAAGCAGAGAGCAAGACAGTGCAGCTTGGGAGCCACCTACAGTGTGTCCCCAGCTCGAGAGGAAACAGGGCCCAGTCTTCCCCGTTGAGCCCTTCCACCTCCCTGGAGCCCAGATTTACTACAGCCCACAGTGATCCCGGGGTGTCATCATCAAAGCAAACTGCCACATGAAACTGGAGCGGTAGGCTGAGATGACAGGATTTTGAAGGGTGCAGAAAGAAAAGAAACGCAAAGTAAGACCCATCTTATTGGTGCCCATATGACAGTTTTAAAATAGACCCCTGCATTTGTTGAGTTTTCTGGAAAGGATGAGGAAGAACAGAGTTTGGATTTATTAAACATTTATTAAAACTTTCCATTTGCTGAAATTTTTTCAGATAGGAAGAACTGTCCATTTGGTTTGATGAAAACAAACAAGCAATTTTCGATCAAAACCCACAGAGGATTGGAAAAACGTTAATATTAGCAGTATTTTTGGAAGGAAAAAGTTTTCCATGAACATCTATAACACACAGCTAGTTTTGATCATCTTGTGTATGAAATAAATTAACCTCTTGCCCTGCAAGTTCTTTGGTATTTTTTGTTGTTGTTTGGAGGTTGTGCCTCACGTGCTGGGCTCCAGAAGGAGATGTGCAGCTCTCCAGCAACACCAACCATGGTGACAAGAGAGCATCTCCTCAGCTCTCTCACAGAACTTCATCTTCACATACCTGAGCCAAGGCTCTCCAAAGGAAACAGTCCCCATTCTTCACTCCACCAAAGATAAACATTATTTCCCACTCATCTGACTGACTTTTGAACTAGGCTGTGCATTAGGTTTGCAAACCTCATCAATTCAAGGCCAGTATTTAAGTAGAGCTGGAGGAGAAAAGTATTTTCCAGTCCAGAAAACTCCTTGAAAGTTCAAAGCCTCTCCCCACTCCAGGAAAATAAAATATGGAAACAGCTTATCAGACACCAATTAAAACCATTCTGTGAGGTGCAAGAAGCCCAGATGGGGCTGAGACATGAGCTCTCACATCCAAACAAGCACCCCACTATGTTTTCTCTGTTTCACTTTGACTGAAACATCCACCCTGGAATGAGAAACCTCCTTACCTGGAGTTCAAGGGAACCAATGCCTCAATACATGCTTGGGGAACAGCGCTGCTTTCACCAAATGAAAACTTTGTCATGAAGACACTTCACCTGTGAGCCTCTCTTTCACATCACATGCAGGATTATTGCTCTGTTATTCACAGAGGGTAAATTTTGCTGTCAGTCATGCCTGGAGCAGTACTGTGATTTCAGCTGAAGTGACGTGGTTTTAAAATGAGTTTACTCAATCCACAGCTCACCAGTACCACTAAATTCAGCAAAGCTAACAATCTGGCCTTAAAACAAAACAGAAGAATATTATGATTCTTATTTGATTTGACCTACCAGGTTTTCCATGCTGTCAAAAAACCCCAACACTTCAATCTTAAAGAAAGGAGAAACCTGAATGTTTCTTCCCAGATAAAGGAAGGTAAACTCCAAAGTCCTAAAATTCAAATCCGGAGCAGAGAAATTTGCTAAGACATAACTTCCCTGCAGAAAACATACTACTTCACTACACAACATTTGCAGCATAACCAAAGCAGTAGAGCCTGCTTCTCATGGGATGCTGCTGCCTTGGAAAAGGTAATAACACAGCCAAGAAGAGCTGCAGCAAACTGCAAGGGAGCCTTTGCAAACAGGCACTACTGAATGAGAACCAGTAAAAGCAACAATATGTGGAGGGCAATGAATTCCTCACACCTGGAGCTCTTCCAATGCAGGGGTAATTCTGCTAGTGCACAGATTTCTCTAATGTAAAAAAGAAACTAATTTCTGGATTCAGCTGACTGCTCTCCTCACCCATAAAACACTCAGAAATGAGCTTAAGTGGTTTGCCGAAGCAACCAAATGCTTGCAGGCAGCAACAGTCTTCTTGTGCCTGAAATACAGGTACTCACATAGAGGACAAAGCATGTTGCTCAATTCCCACCTCTAGCAAACTGAACGAGGTCTGTGCTAATTCTCAAGGGAGATAATTAATCCTGTGAAGAATGACAGTCTTAGGAGAGGAAGTGCTTGGTCTGTACTGGCCCACAGGTGCCAAAGATGAGTCTGCAGAGTGAAATGTGCACTTCTGCATTAAGGCAGTTACTGATTACACCATTTACTCCAGTGATCGAAGAGAAGGCCAAGATCCCAGCAACTTCTGCTGTGACTGTTTTCACAACCAGCCCTGGCTTTTTGGAAAAGCAGAGGGACAAGGACAGGGCTCACTGCTTGTGGAGCAGAGCCTGCAAGGACAGCCAGCAAGTGTCAGCCATATGGCAACAATGGGGGCCAGAGGGACAGCAGTCCTAATGCCTGCAATCAAGGCGGCAGGGATATCTTGGGGGAGAAAAGGGAAAGGTAAAAACAAGGAATGAGCCACAGCAAGATAACCAAGTGGAGGGACCTCTCCACCCCACTTCACACGACAGCCCAGCACTCCCACTTACTTCCTTTGGAACCTGACAACGGGATCATCCAACAGGTCAGTGAAATCCAGTTTCCTCCCCTTCTCTATAACGTCCCGGTGCTTGCGCACAAACAGCCAGCCGATGTGGGAGAAGAAGAAGCCGCGGCGGGCGTTATGCGGGTCTGCGTCCGTCTCTGAGTACTTGTGGTGCACACGGTGGTCTCGGCTCCACTCATAGATGTCATTCTGCATAGAAAGCATGGTGGGGTGAGAGGACAAAGGCCGCGCACCGGTCCAGCAGTACCAGCTCCAGCTCCTTCCCCACACAGTAATAGCAACAAGCCCCTCTCTGATGCTCCTCAAAAAAGGTTATGACTAAAGACATCCCAAGGGACCCCAGCTTGGCAGCCAGCCAGCCCATCACTCTGCTACTGTCAATGCCCATCAAAATGGGACATGCTCTGGGAACCGGTGACACAGACTGGACACATCCCAGGGCTGGAGATGGCTGGAAGCCAACAGCCTTTTGGGAGGTACCATCATGAGTCTGCCCTGGTCCTGTGTCCACCCTGGGCATTTGCTGTCTGAGGATGGACACTTGGCTGAAAGGACCAGGTCCATACATGTTTACATTGTTATTTTACAACGCTACCATGGGGCAGCTTGCATATTTATTTTCAGGGCACTAGTGTGCAGAGGCACTCAGTTCTGGCATCCTTTTTCTAAGCTGGTTGCGGCTGGTTACCACTGATGCCCTCCAGGCACAAATGCAGTGCTGAAAATGGGACACAGCTTGTGGAAGACTACACGTGCCTTTTCCCAACCTGAACAGGAGCTGAACTTGCTCAGCCTTTTGGAGGGATGTGTCTTCCAGAGTAAAACTGGCACCTCCGTTTAAATTACTGCTCTGTCTGCAGGGATGTGTACAGGAGCACAGCCTTCTAGTACTTAATGTCGGCCTAGAGGAAAGATGGGGAGGGATCCTTTTATCAGGGAGTGTAGTGATAGGATGAGGGGTAATGGTTTTAAATTGAAAGAGGGTAGATTTAGATCAGGTATTAGGAAAAAATTCCTTACTGTGAGGGTGGTGAGACACTGGAATGGGTTGCCCAGAGAAGCTGTGGATAGCCCCACCCTGGATGTGTTTAAGGCCAGGTTGGATGAGGCTTTGAGCAACCTCATATAGTGGAATGTGTCCCTACCCATGACAGGGGGGTTGGAACTGGGTGATCTTTAAGGTCCCTGCCAACCCAAACCGTTCTATGATTCTATGATTAAGATAGAAAAGGAGATGTGCTGATTTTATGGGAAATCAGGTCTTGCATTTCCAGCCAGGCTAGAATAAAAGTCTCAGACCCATAACATCAGCTCAGCACTGGATCCAGATCAGACATAAAGCAAGCTCAGTCCTGTCTCTGCTCAAGCCGTCAGCAGATATGGGTCACTGAAATACTTCATGGCTGTAAATGGGATTATGTGGATTGCTGAGAGGAAGGGATGGACTGCAGTTTCAGACTTGGATCCGTAAAGTGAGATTTTCTGAGTGTACTCAGCCAAAAGGATTTCAGCCTCCCAGTTTGCTCTGCAGGATGCACTGGCTATTGGATTAAACTGGTGTTTTTGCAGTGGTACCAACCTATTAATGCAGAGCATTGTAAGCATGTACAACACTTGAAAAACTCAGGCCACACATTCACCTATGAATTGAATTGCCCAACGTGCACCAAAATGTTAGTTAATGCCCAGATCCACAGCGTGAACTTTAATCAGAGAATGCTTAGCAGAGTGTGCTTTCCTCTTCTATTTCCATCTTTGCATAGCCAGGGAGGTATCCAAGCAGTAAGACAGGAAGGAGGGAAGGGCTTGTGTTACTTTTAGGAACAGCAGTGGCACCCACAACCACCAACCACAGCAGCTTTGCTTCCAGCAGAACTGAGCAAACCATTTGCAGTGCCTGCAAAGTAACCACAGTGCAGCAGCCACCACGGCACTGAATATACTGTAGGACACAGTAAGTCCAGGCTAATGACAACTGCATATATCTATACTTTGTGAGAAAAAAGGCCTATGCTGAAAGCATTGCAGAAATTGTTGCTCTTTCTCTCAGCTGCCAACATTTGAGAGAAAGCACTGAGGACGCCCATGCTGCTGAGGGGACTCCAGGAACAACTGCAAAGAGCAGCTAAAGAATCCAGCTCAAAGGCCTCTGTGTCCAACTTCAGCCTCGCAAAGATGCTCCCTGTCTGCAAGAGCCCACAAGGGACAAGTAAAGAACAAAAGCCCTGGAAAGATCTCAGCTCCATTGCACTCAGTTGTGCTCAGCCCTGTACTGTTGTCACGCTGTGGCCTCAGTGATGCTGGGAGTGGGCTAGGGATGAGGGGAACACTTTTCTGCAGCACTGACTCACCTAAGCCATTGAGAGGAGGCAGTAAAGATCTGCCCCTGACCAGTGCTCCAGGATGTTGCACCTCACTATCCCATTGCACAAGAGAACAAAGTAAACTGAGTGAAGCAAAGGAAGTCACCGAACTCTTCAGTGAGAACAAGGGGAGATCTTTAGCTTGCTGCCATCTTATTTTTTTCCTGCAGAGAAATCAAAGGGAATTAAAGCTGCTACACTGCTTCAAATTAACTTGGCTTTTTATACCACAGCAAACACCTGCAGGGCTGGCAAAAACCATGATTCCCTAGATGAAAGGGTTAGGAAGCTGTGAAACAACTGAATTGCATCTAATTAAAACACACAAAGGCTAAGAAGAAATAAAGGCCAGAACTGTTGGCCATAAATACACCAAGAACTGGAGCATAGCACATGTAAATACGCTCCGAGCGTATTAATAGCAACCATTTTTCAGGAACACATCACTCTTGATCAAGTTTCAGGTAAACACAGGAGTGAAATCCCTTCCAAAGCAGAGAGCGATAGCATCGTGCCGAGGTAGTGATGCAGACTTCATTAGTAGGTCTCTTAATAAACCTGCAGACTGAAACATGACAACAAATTGGGCTATGTAACAACCTCAGTGTGCTGACATGAATTTCCACACAACCACTGTTGCTGTGTGCAAATGGTCATAGCACAACCTCAGCTGAACAACACAGCTTGTTTCATAGAGATGGCCAGGAGCAACGGTACAATGCAGTTAGCAGAGGAGACATCAGCACGTCCCAACCAAGATGCTGAAACTTAAACACTACGAGATCAAGCGGACATAAGCCACATATTACCTATTTCTGAAACAGACATGTGACAGCAAGAGGTGCAGTCTTTCAAAATTGTGAGAGCTTCACTCTAGATGGAGAGAAGAAACACAGCTCAGCATGCTCCAATCATAAAAAATGCACCGGGCAACAGGGCAAAAATGGCTACATCTGGTAGCATTTCAGAGGAAGTACAGCATGTCACAGCCTGTGCAGCATCACGTTAAAATTCTTCAGCAGAGTTTCCCCTGCCCTTCAACAAGTCTGAATATTTCCTCAATATTCAGCATCCAGGCATGCTGTAGGTATCTCCAATGCCACCTCTTCCTCCCAAAGCCAACATGAGGGAGATGGACCTGAAAACTCATTCACTTTCTGGTTGTGGCGGTGAAAACAGTCTTTAGCAGGCAATGGATGTCACAGTAATTAGGAGCAGGCTTCAGATTACTTAAAACTTAAGAGTGGGTGATTTGGCCTTTAGTTTTCTTTCTGATACAAAGAGTACAAAGGTGGCTTGAAGCTACTTTGAAGTACTTCCCTGCCTCAGAATCACACCGTGTCCTCAGCTAAATGCAGTGATGAGGCCAACGCAGCTGAGAGCAAAATCCATAGCAACAGGGGAGCAGAATGCAATGAAATCCCAATGTGCAGGCTCACTGCAACCAGCTCAACATATTCATTTAAGTTACTTATGAAAGATAAGATCAACTGTAAAACAGGAGGACAGTACCAGGGGGTTCTCAAAACTCAAAACAGTTGTTTAACACTCTGAACAAAGGGCTTGTAAAACTCTGCAAGGAACCAAGTAGCACAAAGCAGCTGGAATGTGGCTCAGAATAAAGGAAGGTTATAGTCAAAATAGACAAATTCCCATATTCAAGCAAAAGCATTTTGCTCTTTGTATTGTCTAGAGGAATTAACAAGATTAATTCTCCCCACCATAAAAAAAAAAAAAAAGATAATCAAAGATAAGTGAACAGTACAGAAGTGGATGAAAGGACTCTCTTCATCCTCTGTCAAGGTACATGAATATGAAGTCAACCAAACAGACCGAAGGGAAAAAGCTGCAAACTCAAGGCACAACACACATGTGGTACTCAGTGCCACAAGGGGCCATGGCAGCCAAGTTTGATAAGTTTAATATTAGTACAGGTTCATATCTCTATTTTGAACAGCCAAAGGAGTAACTAAATTCACACCGAGAAGATCCTGGTTCTGGGCCAACTCCTACCACCAGCTAGCTGTTACACAAACATTTCTGAGGCCTAAAATTGCCTATCAGTAAGTACTGAGCTAGCACAATGCTTCTTCGCGAATGTATTATACAGCATTTTTCACCAGTAAAATTTAAATACAGAGCTAAATTAAGACTGTGAAAGGATGCCTGCCTTTCTGGGCATATCAAAATCTCCAACTGCCTGTTTGGACAAATAAATTTGATTATGCAGACATATTTGCATCAAGTTGGCCCTTACAAAAGTTTCCACATTTTCCTGTGAAGTGTAGGGCCTGACCTGTGCCACAGATAGGCTGCTGAGATGCTGAGCCCCCAGTCTGGGCATGTTCAGCTTGGTCCTTAAGTAATTATTGCTCCTGGACTGTCTAATGCATGCTGTTATACAGGTGATGAGAGGGACTCTGCATTCCCTGAGTGTGTTATCAGCAAATGTCTTTCTGCCAATATTTTTTTTCTTTTGCTGTCTCTAAGCTGAGGGGATCCTTGCACAGGAGAAAGAGCTGCCAAGAATCTGGACAGGCAATCACAACCCCACCTGGAAAGCCATGGAGTTAGCTGCAGCCAGAAAGATCCGCAAAGGCAGCTTGGCTTTGTAGGAACGGTGGCTCCACAGGCGATGTGCACCAGCTGTCACACCCAGGGCCGTCATCAGGAAACAGAAATATGCTGAAAGACACAAAAACAAAACACAGGATGTGCCAGGGGCCAACTGCCACTATTTTTGCTTTCTTTGGTGTAAAAATGATCCTGCTATCACCTGCAGGGTCACTCAGAAGATGAGGCTGGGCAGACACGAGGTGAGGTTCTCAGCCCACCTCTGCCCTGTGGCCCCAGGGACATGTCGTTCCACATCCCACTCCTCCCCATTTAGACAGTGTGTTGTTCAGGAGAGCCTGGCAGCACTGGGGCACCATGCCGTGATGTGTTTATGCGGTCTGCCTTCACCAAGTACAGTAAAGTTCATCACTCGTGCCAGAAGAGTAGCAACAACTCTTCTAACAGAACACTCCCAGCCTCCTCCATAGAGATCTTTGCTCAAGTCCAATGTGTCAGCTAATTTAAGAGCAACACGTACCACCCCTAAAGATATGAGCTGGGCCAGAGTTTCCACAATAAAGACCTCTCTTATCATTGGGAACTCATGACCTGGTAATAGAAATGTACCAGGAAGAAGAGCATTCACCATCTCCCTCAGTTTCAGGAACTGCTTTTCCTTCCCTTAATTAAAAAATTGGCCAAGTAAACTTGTTTTGAGCATTTTTTCAGATGGCAAACACAGCATGGGAGCAGGTCCGTTCCTTACTCACCACACTGGCTCCAGACTAGACACACAGCCCAGGCACATGTGTTCTGCAGTGTAGCCCCTGCGCTTAGAATAATACCCCCAACGACCACCATCACAGCATAGGTACATCTCTGGTTCTCCTTTCAGCAGGGGCCACGCTCATGCATGCTCCAGCCAGTTAACCTCACATTTCCAGGGGCTGGGGGAATGGCTGGCTGGGGCAGCAGGACAAAACAGTGGACATGAGCCCACCTGCTCAAGCCATGCATCTGTGCACCGATTGCTTCTCCTTTGGTGTGCTCACTGGTTTTGTCTCCAGGGTCTTTGAATTCCTGTGTGATGGATGTCCTGGTTTCGGCTGGGATAGAGTTAATTTTCTTCATAGTAGCTAGCATAGTGCTGTGTTTTGGATTTAGTACTAGAAGAATGTTGATAACACACTGATGTTTGTTTCTAGTTGTTGCCAAGTAGTGCTCAGACTACTCAAGGACTTTTTGAGCTTCTCCTGCTCGGCCAGGTGCATAACAAGCTGGGAGTACAGCACAGCTAGGACAGCTAACCCAAACTGTCCAAAGAGCTATTCCATACCATATAACGTCATGCTCAGGGGGATTAGTCGGTCTGTCAGTCGGTTGCAGGGAGAGTGATCGCGGCTCGGGGAGTGATCGCGGCTCAGGACAGGCTGGGCATTGGTCGGTGGGTGGTGAGCAATTGCATTGTGCATCATTCGTTTTGTATATTCTGTATATTCTGTTATCATTCTCATTATTACTATTATTATTATTTTCTCTTATTAAACTGTCTTTGTCTCAGCCCACGGCTCTAACCTTTTATTTTCTTCCCGATTCTCTCCCCCATCACCACTGAGCCACCAGTGGCTGGGTGGTGCTTAGTTGCCAGCCGGGTTAAACCACGACATGGATGATCCATACCCCGAGTTATTTTGACTTGCAACAAAAGAGAAGGAAAGGGTTGGAAGAACAGTGCATTAGACTTGCTCCTCCTTTTGGAGAGTGACTGGAGAGAAAGTGGGAACAGCTAGGAGGAAAGTATTTTGTAAGTAAGTCCGAAATAAACTGGACCACTTAAAACTATTCACATTCAAGCTATCCAGCTGTTGTGATATATAGACTCTTATTCTCCTTCCCACACTTGTTGCTTTCTTATACTGTGCCTAAAGAGTACAGGCTCATTTGACAAATGTAAAATTAAACAATAGTGGATTCAAACAATAGGAGTATTACAGGACAACCTCAAATGAGTTTATACGGTTTGAAGTGACATGCTCTTTAGCCAGGGCTCCCTGCCACCCTATGCATGCAGACATGTTTTGGTTAAAACAGCCTATTTCAAATACCTAAATAGAGTTACTGGAATAAAAAGGGAAAATCCTGCCCCCAAAGGGGCGTTTTCTACTTGGCATCTGCACAACAGTCTATCTAGCAGGGAACCCCATTAGACATGCAGTGGCTAGAAGGGAATTCACAGTCAGCTTTTCCCAGTATGTAATGTAAAACATCTATCTTTGCAAAATGAAAACAAATATATATATATATAGGTGGGTGTCTACTGTGTCCCTCTATCAACTCCCAACTCACAGTGCTTGAAATTACAGCATCTAAGAGAAAATATAATAGAAAGCTATTTGGTAAAATAACGGCAACCGTATTTCATGTTGATTGTCACCCCTGCAGACTGAAGAAGTAAATGGACTCCCCTGGTGGATCCATCAAAACCAGATTTACCCACACTGTTTCACATTACACACATGGCCCAAATTCCTGCCACCACCCACACAGCAAACCAAAGCCTTTCTCACAAAATGCAACAGACAAATGGAGTCAGAACAGTCCTAGTAAAGATGATGCATCTCTAAAATCTGCTTTGGACATCATCACTGGAAGAGGCAATTCACCCTTTCAGCAGGCTGCAGTGACTCCCAGAAAAGGCTCATCTGTGCAGTTAAGTCCAGTGCACTAAAGCCTGTTTCCAAATTCAGACTTCTGCCTGCTTCCTGAAGGGAGGTACAGAAATGAATTGAAAATCCTGCATTCTCTCTGCACGTTATTTACAGATTGTGTTGAATTTACAGGTTACTCCCAGATCAGTAAAAATGCTGACACCACAACTACTCACACTCCAGTCTCTGCTGCACTCTTGCAGTTCTTGCACATACCTTGTCAGTGCAAGGACTCAGACTTCTATGAAATTAGGAAAAACCTAGCCTGCCATTTTCTGTATGTGATGTTGAGCTGTGCAGAAACATCACTAAATAAGGCCTTCCAGATTGCTCAAATGACTGTAATTGTTGTGAAAGATCTGTGACACACACAATACTGACATTATCCAGCCAACATAAAAATATTAAGGTTACAGTCTTGAATCATTAAAAGAACATGCTGTCTGTGGGCTTTATGACTGGTTAACCTCCTGCTAGTTACAGGGGCTGAAATCTCCCATCTTCAGCAGTCTCTTTGCTTCCTCCCAGTTCAAAGCATCAGACCATTTAGTTGACCAAGAGCTTCTCAAGGCATCCATCCATCTTAATCATGATCAATTGCTTAAAACCAGAACTAATGAAAAGTGGGTAGAACAAGACATATGCAGCATTATGTCTGATTTCGCTTTCCTTTTCTGTCCAATGTAAGAAGTGGCTGAGTGGTAGGTGACATACAGACCATATGAAATAGCTGCACTGAATTCAAGGGATTTATGCTACTTGATTCAGCTCTTACAGAGCTCAGCTTAAACAGAGACCCTTTCATTCAGCCCACTCCACACCACCAGCATTGCAGCAGAACGGACAACAGTATTTCGGGAGTCTGGGGGCTGCCCTAGGGTCTACATGCCACCCTGTGTCCATACCTTTGAACAGCCCTCCCAGGCCCCCTCCCAGTATCATCCCCAGTTCACACTTCCCAGGAAGCCTTGGGCTACAAATGGGAGGAGGGTTTATCTAACAGGTTTCTGCAGGAGTCCTGGGGTTGCGTAGGTGGCCTTGCAGGCAGCACGTCTCTAGCCATCAAACACGAGCAGGCAAGCTCAGCTGTACTTCAGGACAGGGACTGACTGGTGGTGTGCCCCAGCAAAAGGAGGGGGATGCCTGTTTCACAGGGCACAGCGGGCACGCTGGACTCTCTCAGCAGCCACAGTCGGGAGCAAGCTGGCTCTCACCTGTGTGGCTCAGCAAGTGGAGAGGCAGAAAGGCCAACTGAGAACGAGTGCCAGACTGAGGAAATACCCTCTGAGCCTCCCAGAAACATGCTGCCCTGATCAAATGGGGCTTTCCCAGGGACACGACCACAAGCTCCATCCTCCTACCCTCTCCAGCCCCAGCCACTACCACAGCAATCAAGCTAAAATGGCTGGGGCTTATACCCATTCAACATGCCTATTTTTTGGCTTTGCAGAGGAGCAATCCTAATAGCAGGAATTTTCCTAATATAAATCCCGAGGGCTGAAACATCGCCAGAAACAAACAAACAAAAAATTAATCAGGAGTTTGGTGATGACACCAAACTGGGTGGTAGTGTTGATCTGCTCAAGGGGAAGAAGGCTCTGCAGAGGGACCTGGACAGGGTGGATAGATGGGACGAGGCCAACTGTATAAGGTTCAACAAGGCCAAGTGCCAAGTCCTGCACTTGGGTCACAACAACCCCATGCAACGCTACAGGCTTGGGGAAGAGTGGCTGGAAAGCTGCCTGGTGGAAAAAGACCTGGGGGTACTGGTTGACAGCAGGCTGAATATGAGCCAGCAGTGTGCCCAGGTGGCCAAGAAGGCCAATGGCATCCTGGCCTGTATCAGGAATAGTGTGACCAGCAGGACAAGGGAAGTGATCGTGCCCCTGTACTCGGTGCTGGTGAGGCCGCACCTCGAATACTGTGTTCAGTTTTGGGCCCCTCACTACAAGAAGGATGTTGCATTGCTGGAGCATGTCCAGAGGAGAGCAACCAAGCTGGTGAGGGGTCTGGAGCACAAGTCATACGAGGAACGGCTGAGGGAACTGGGGTTGTTTAGTCTGGAGAAGAGGAGGCTGAGGGGAGACCTGATCGCCCTCTACAGCTACCTGAAAGGAGGCTGTAGGGAGGTGGGGGTCGGCCTCTTCTCCCTGGTAACAGATGATAGGACGAGGGGGAATGGTTTGAAGCTGCGCCAGGGCAGGTTTAGGTTAGATATTAGGAAAAACTTCTTCACTGAAAGGGTTGTCAGGCTCTGGAATGGGCTGCCCAGGGAGGTGGTAGAGTCCCCATCCTTGGAGGTATTTAAAAGAAGGATAGATGAGGTGCTTAGGGACATGGTTTAGTGGTGGGATGGCAGGGTTAGGTTAAAGGTTGGACTCGATGATCTCAAAGGTCTTTTCCAACCAAAGTGATTCTATGATTCTATGATTAATGTACAAAGAAGCAGCTGCTAAAATATCCAGATTAGTCTTCTGGATGTTTTAGTGAGCTAACTCTGCAACCAGGCTGACTTATCAAAGCAAAATCGCACTCACAAGGAAACAGCAGCATTTCAAACTTAACCTATAGACTGAAGGCTGAGCTGTGCTATCCGTGTATATTGGCTTCACACACAATCGCAGGCCACCACAAATACTGGAGACTCTGAATTCAGAGCATGGATAGCCATCTTGCTGAAGAGGAATAATATACTGCTCTTCCTCCCCTCCACCGGTGCTGCAGGGCTGACAGGAGCGCAGCCTGGGAGAGGGCTGTGCTGGAGCGTGGCAGAGGAGGTTGTCAGCAGCCACTGATGACGGGTGTGAAGGAAGAACAGCAAGCTGGCAGTATCCCCACCTCCCCAAGATGCCCAGCTATGGGGCCAAGAGGCATTTCCATGGGGCTGTCCTCACCAGGAGGCCAAACTGGCCCCACCACTGACTGCACAGAGAGGGCTGCTTGTGAAACAAGAGGTGCTTGAGGGATAAGGAAGATGAAGCTACAAAAGGGCTGGGGATGGAGCACACAGAGCTGCTGGGCAGGCAGGGCCAGTGTCCAAGAGAGCTAGGGCATGGGAGTTCCACCAACAGCACAGCAGCCTGAGCAGGAGCTCTGAAGCCACCTGACAAAAGGTTGTGTCATGCTAATACCAAAGTAAAAGAAAGAAAAAAAAATAGTGGAATGAGGACTTCAAGAGGAAAAAAATGAAAGAGCAAAAGCTAACACAGCAGAAAAAGCTGTCTGGAGACACCTGAGATGAGAGAGGAAACAGCGCAGCCAATGAACAGATCTGTGAAAGACAGTGGGTTTACGGCTGGTATTTCTGGTGTTGTGAAAAGCAAGCTAGAGCTGCGCAGCTCACAGTTTCACACCAAAGCCAGAGGGAGAGGAGGAAGATCCTTTCAAGCCATTTTCTGATTGTTTATTTAGTTTTGCCTCACTCATGGACTGAAGGCAGCATGGAGCGTCTGCTTCGCTGAGCCGCTGGCAGGGAGCCACCCCCCTGGCAAGGAGCTGAAGTGTGCCACTGGGCTGGGAACACCCAGCTCCAACTCCCTGGCGCTGCAGTCCTCCTTATGCCTGCAGTAGGGGTCTCCTGCCACACACAGGCCCAAAAGCAGCTCCTTCTCAGCATGAGCTCCCAATTACAGAGTTCAGCG